TTCTTAAGCAGCGCGATGACATAGCGCGCCAAAGCAGACGAGTCCGCATCGCAGCTGTTGTTAAAGAGTAAAATTGTGAAAATTCAATTCACTCAGAGCAAGGCACAACAACTTACAGTGGCTCCAGCACTACGCTCAGCCAGTCCTTGAGCTTATCCGAATTTTCTAATATCATTTCGATGACGGGAGGCAGCTAGATAGTGCTCTGGTCGTCGTTGTGGTTGCGTTGGTCGGCCTTCTTTTGAAGCTGGGCGGGGGGTTGGTCGGTCGGTTAATTGTGCTTGGGCACACACATGCACACGCGCCCAAATATATATTTTTAATATGACCTCTGCCGCTCGGGTCCACTCTCTACGTCACAGTGCCAGTTACCGCGATACGTACTATGCTCCTTACGCTTGTAACTGCTGATTGTAACTGTACGCTCTGTAAATATACGAAATTCCTGACTTTTATCTTTTATTTGACAATAACTGATAGTTTTTCTTAATTTTCATTATTTGCTCTTCTTCTTCTGCTATCGTCAATAAGAAAGTTTCTCGATTATGCTACCCGATACTTTTTCCTGCCTACGAATGACAGACACACAACTACACGTACACTACCACTCACACCACGCACATGCATGCGAATTTACATACGTATGTATGTACGACGGCACCCATTTTTTTGCGCCCAAATTTATTGTACTTGCTGTGCACTTTTCTGCTCACAAACCCACACTGGACGTACCTTGGGCCTTAAATTTAACTTATCAATTATTTTTCTACAACAAATTACAGTTTTAATGGCTATTTTTGTGTTTTTCACTGCACTTTTTCCTGCTGCCTTGCTTGACAGTGTGACCGCGGAATTATCGATAAAATATACCGTCTCAACCTCAGGAACATACCTTCTCATTTTGAAATATACCGTCCAAAACCCTATTCCTCAATTTTTATATTTGATTTAATAGACGCTCACCACTGAAAATGTAATTTTTCTGATAGATGAATACTGTTTCGACAAGATTGGAATATTTATAAAATAAACTGTAGGCATAGAAGGTCAAAGTGTTCAAGGAAACTCAGTTGTTGCAAGGTTGCTTGACAAGTTGGCTGCATACGCGATAAGCATCGATACTTCTCTGTCGCATCCAGCCCTGGGAATTTCGTTTACCTGTGAAATTGATTTGATTTAATTCTTGATTTGCATTTATTTTGGCATGTGCAGCATTGGAGAGGATGATTTTGGAGACGAGGGCGCTGCCCATGCAATGGTAGCGGAGTCCCTGCCCACCGGGATATTGATCAGCCTAGGAGACTGCAGCAAGTGCGGTGTGGCCTCCAATGAACTCTACAAACTGAATTTCCGCGTGGCCGAGTGTCATGACTGCTTCCTTATCCACTGTCGACACAAATTTCGAGCAGCCTTGGGTGCTGCCAAAGTCCTACCGCGCAACGCTGATGTCCTACTCTCATTGGATGGCTCTGCCGAGTCTCTGGTGCTCCTGGACATGCTTCACTTCGCGCAGACACAAAACACATTCAGGCGACTGCATTGCAATGCCCGAGTTGTGTACATAGACGATCAGTCCGTGCATGGAGGTGAATCGATAAATCTGCATGCCCTTCAAGCACTCAGCAAGCGCTACGAACCACTCGAGTTCTATGTTACTGAGTTTGGGGCATCGCCCTGCTCGCTGCAGCGGCTCGAGGAATACTCCCCAGCTGCCAAGGAGCCTCACACAAAGCTCAATAAACTCCGCAGCCTGACAGCTCGACAGGATTACCAGCAGCAGCAGCTGAAACACCTACTAGCCTCTGTGGCACAGAGGCTATGCTGCAGTCACGTCTTTGAGTCGCGTATCAGTGGCGATCTGGCCAGCCAGTTGCTGACAGCTATTGCTCTGGGACGCGGAGGTAGCGCCGCTTTGGACGTGGCCCTACTGGACGACAGGCTGGCAGCTGGTGTCAAGCTTCTGCGTCCCCTGAGGGATCTCAACGAGCAGGAAGTTCGCTTCTATTTACATGCCCGGCAACTGAAGCCGCTGCGGCAGTCCGGCAGCAGCTATGGACAGGAGCGTGGCCCAACTGCCAGCCTGCAGAACCTGACCTACGCCTTTGTGCATAACCTGCAACAGAATTATCCCGCCACAGTGTCCACGGTGTTTCGCACCGGCGATAAAATTATTGCGAATGCCCACGAGGAGCTGGATTCTTGTGCTCACTGCCAATCCCCACTGGACGCCAAGCTCTCTGACACACTCCTGGCCATCGAGTACTCAAGGGCCGTCTCAGAGGCTGGCGTGGGCCTGTCCGAGAATGGTGACGACTCAGAGCGTCTGGCCAAGCAGCGACTTGCGGTCAAGGATGGACTGTGCCATGCCTGCCGCTGCATACAGCTGGAGCTGGGAAGTGATCTTTTGACGTAACAAAACAAAATATATATAATTATCCCACAAATGTTTATATTACAATTTCGAGAGCTGGCTGTTGACGTGCTCCTGCAGCTGCAGATGGCCATCAAAGGGAGGAACGTTTGAGGCCAGCACTACCCTGTGAAAGTCGTAGGCGATGTACCGATTGTACTGCCGGGTGCTGCTGTTTAGTTCGGACACAGACACGTTCAGCATTATGGATTGTGTGCACTTTTCCGGCTCGCTTACGTAGAGTTCGTCGCCTGGCAGCACTCCAAACATGCAGCCATCACAGCGGTAGTACACCGGCTGCACCAATGTTGTGCCTAAAGCACTGCGCTGGCGGCAGAACTTTAGGAGATCCTCCGAACGGCGCAGGTTCATCAGTCGAGCCGTGTCGTAGAGCAGCATAAATGGCAGCCAGATTGTGCCGTTTTGGGACTGTGTCCAGGCGGCGTCCGGGTTCAGCCAGTGCGCCGAGGCCACCTCTTGGGGCTCTAGCAGCAGGCTCACCTGCTTCGCCTGCTCTTTCAGAGCGGTAACGTAATAGACCGTGTCAAACTTGCGGCTTGCAGTTGCCGCAGTTCTCCAAGCTGACCACTCATGGAGCGACCAGAGATTGGGCAGGACGTTCAGATGCTTGCATAGTGCCAGGAACTGAGTGCCATCGTCGTGCACTCGCTGCTGCCACTGGGAGCGCTCGTCTGGCTGGAGGAGCAAAGTCCGTGGTTCGCCCTGAGTGGTGGCATGCCAATGCCTAAGGCCCTCCTCGTTGGCACAAAGCAGCAGGCCCACTTCTTCGAAAGCTTCTCTTAGAGCTGTCAGCCTCAGGGAGATGTCTCTGGAAAAATTCTGGCCGCAGGACAGGAAATCCGGCCTTGTCGAGACCTGATCGCAGCTCAGCCGCTTCAGATCCTCGTTTGTTACGCCAAAGGAGCGAAAATATGACAGCCACTCTGAAGACTCATCCGCTCCGGCATCGAACACGCCGCCAGGAAAGACGCAGTGATTCAAGGCATAGGAGGTGCGCTCGCTGCGTTTGATTAAAAGTAACTAATGGACAAAAGATACATTTTGTAATTTAAATAATTTTCCACCTTTGTTCCCGCCTTGCTCACGCTGTAGTCAAACTTTGCAGAGGAAGCCTCCTTAGCAGCTAGTATTAGGCTAGCTGAGGCTCTGTACGTGCCAGGATCTTGGGGAGCAACCATCATGTTATAAATTAGAAACGGCAAACAGTTTCCATATCGTTTCAGTCCAAAATAAACCTTTGATCGGATCCGGCGAACCCGAAATTACTATCGATAACGGTAACTATCGATATCGGTTGTTACCTAAGCGATATGTCGAAACAGGTGCTGGCCAAAATACGACCGTCCTCCAGCCTAATACTGCTGGCAAAGGATGCATTAGCAGCAACTACAAAGCGTTCCTACGATTACAATGTAAGCCAATCCAAGCCCTACGTGGAGGTCATATTAACGAACCTGTTCTTTTAGGCGCTGCTGCTTACGAGAGCCTCAAAGTCCAGCTTCATGCCGGACTCGTCTGTATTTCCAGGCGGAGTGTGCGACGCCAGCGACAGCTCACCTGCGTGGCTCTCTCACTTTCAGCGGCACAACATTAGCTCTTCCATGCTGAACGACGTCTGCCACGTAAAGGGTCCACGTCCCGAGATATTCAATTCACGGCCGGAAACCGATGACGCGATTGACACGTGAGATTTGCCAAATTGTCGCCCAAACGCATCTTCATTGCCTTTAGTCTTTTGTGCAGCTCCTTGTCGTTGCGTCTGACCGCCATACGCGAAACATTTGAGGAGTTGGGCATCCTATTGTGCAGGGATGCTAAGACATTGACCTCGACCAGCGGCTACGGGCAGTTCCATGAACAGTTCGATCGCGCTCACTGGCAGCATGTGGTGCACAATGATGCGAGCCAGTTCCTGGAGCTCTGCAAGCAGCTGGATGTGCTACCAGACGTTTGGTCACTGCACGATTGGTCTGCCTGGCGCACACCTTCCACGTTTAAGAAGCGATTTGTAACGGCCTTCTTTCTGACCTGCCTCGAACAGCCGCCCAGCCTGCACATTGAGCCCAATGAGGTCAAGGATTGTGCGGTACAGCTCCATTGAAGAAGCTTTTTAGAACCCCACTAATCCTTATTTATGCTCGACACAGTGGCGCTCCCCTTTGGACTATCTTCAGGCTTGTTTGCGCAAAGAGCTCTGGCTGCCGCCGCCTCAGTTCTATGAACTTTCGCGCTGCCTCAACTTTGGCACCCTCGAGGAGCTGCGTCAGTTTGCTCTTCAACGCGCGTCCAAGGGCATCGTGCTCACCCATCCTGTCATGTACAAATGCAATGATGGTGTGGTGCATCTGCTGCCCGGCGACGATGCCTATCCATCCAATCCAGATGCCACTAGCGACAAAATTGAGACTGGCCTCTCCGTGGAGGAATTTCGTGGACAAGCGAAATCTAAGCTACATCGTTCGGAGCACAGGAATCAGCATGAATCGCAATTAATTATTAATTTTGCTCCCACTGATGGGCAGGTCGATCCCTTGAATCCAGCTCTGATGTAGAACGAAGGGAATCCTTGATTGCATTTGCATTTATTTATGTTTAAACTGAGTGAGATTTTCTGTTGTTAAATTGAAGCAAGAAAGTTGACGAAAGTTGCTTTATTCTTTGTCCTTGCCGTACCAGAGCTTGTACAGGTATTCGGTCTCCTCGTTTGTGGCGTAGCTGGTCTCGTACTCCTGCGGCTTTTGCCTCGGCTGCGAACTAAAGTGGGGGAGAGCTTAATAGGTTGTGTCTTCTTGATCAATAGACTTACTGGTGGACGGGCACGGGTGTGTATCCTGTGTGTGGCTTCCCATTGCCTGGGCCTGGATGTTGATGCTGCCAACGCTTGCACACCTCTAGACTCCGCTCAATGTTCTTCTGATTGCTGAGTAGTGCGCCCAGTTTGTGCTCAATCTGCGAGTTGTCTCCATGCACTGCGATTATTATCTTCTCAATGCCAGCCAGACTCTCCGCTTGGGTGTAGTTAAGCGAGCGCAGTCCCTGCTCCAGATGATCCACTTTCCGATTCGCGCGACTGGTCATCGCATTTAGCTCATCCAAGTAGACCACTTTGGCCTCAATGTTCCGCTGCTGCTGCTGCAGACCTTTGGCCTTCCTGTCCAGCGAGGCAAGCTCCTTGATGACTCCCTGCTTCAGCAGCTGTTCAATCTCCCCCAGATGCTTGTCCACGGATTTGGTCACCTTGCTGAGTTCCTCCTGGTGTTTGTTTTGCACGGCATCGACCTTGCCCAAAGCTCTTTTGATCTCATTCTCCACCTTGACCAGATTCCTGATGGCATTTGCGTTCTGGCTCTGGGAAGACTTAACAATGGCCGTCAGATTTCTCACGCCTGTGGCCGTCAACTTGAAACTCTCGGACGTGTCCTTCTCCAGTTTAACCAGTCCATTCTCCAGTCGCACAAGGCCCCCGATCTGTTCACGCTGATCCTTGAGCTTGTGCTCGACTCCTTTCTGATGTTTGATCACTTCAATCGCCTTGTGGTCCAGCGCCTCCAGCTGTTCGCTGATGCCCATCAGTATGCGTACGATCTTCCTGTCGCCCCCCGACTTGTCCTCCTGCTCATCAGCAAAGGTTAAAGCACAACCGATGCAGATCAATAGCAATACCGATGCGGCTCTCATTGTGTTCGTGTGTGTCTTGTGAATGTCTGAGATGGGATGTCCACAGCTGACTGTCCACACTCTGTGTAGGCGGCAACTTAAGTAGCCAAGCTAATTGAGCAATTGAGCTTCAAAACATTTCAAAACGTGTCTCAGCTGGGGCTTGCTATTATCTTCCACGAGCTAGTGGGTTGCAGCTGCAAGTTAAGCACTGCTAATGGCTAATCTTTCCCCCGAAAACAGGCGTAAATAGATGATTCTTGACGACGATTGCTTCTGCCTAGCCACTAACCATCTAAAGTCTGCCCACAATCCCCCACATTTCCTCCTCCATTGCGTATACTACTAATTTTCTACTAATTTTGTTTAACGACTTTTCGGGTGCTCAGTTTTCTAAATGTTGATAGTCACGTTCGTCTTGCATTTTTTTTTCCTATAGATACATGAATAGGTATCTTAGGGAAGCGATTGACCGGCGTTTTTGTGTGTCATGGGCACTACTTACGATATCAGACCTTAAACGTGACCATTTCTTCGAAGTGCAGCTGTTTGTTACCAAAAATTTCATTCAAAAATAGGCATGTTAGCCCTACTAAAGATAACATCAAACGGGAAATGTATGAATGTACATACATATGTACCCATGTAGGTACTACATACATGAAAGTGTTGAAGAATGTAAAAGATTTTGGCCATTATTGGGACATCGGTTCTCTTTTAGAAAAAGACATTTCACTCCCTAAACATATCCATTTCATCTATACTCGTATGAGGTATTTAGCCGCTCTCCAGTATTTGTTTCAGTTTGCAATAAAATAGATATTTTCAGCTTTTTGTTGGATTAAATGTAGAAACAAACGAATAATGGTGCGATCTTTGATAATTCTCCAACACTCTGCGTGCATAAAAAAGGGGTTCTGTATGTGCCTAAAGTTTCAGGCAAATTGCTTTAAAACTAGCGACTGATTTCCATACAAATCTACACAACCACCTCTGTTCGTCATCCGGATCAAGTATCATATGTACATACATGGATATGTACATATGTACATACAGCCAGGATTGTGCATATATGTAAAATATTCTTTACATATAGTTTATTAATATTATTAAATCGTGGTAGACAAGTACACAATGTAAGAGCAAGAGTCACGGCTGGTTTTCTGCTGATTTCTACTGCTGCTACTAAAAATACGTTCATTCGACTACCTTTGCTTTTGCTGCTCTTCTACTCTGTTGTGTCCTCTCTCTCTCTCTCTCTGCCGTTGCTGTTTATCTGCTGTTAATCTAGCTCTGCTGTAGTTTTGCTACTGATGTTATCCTCTTTCTACTGCTGTTATGTACAGCTGTTATCCTGCTTTTACTGTTGTTACTGCTGTGGATCTGATGTCCAATCATATGATTACATATGTATGTATGTATATGTATACATGAGTTTCATCTATTGAATTTTAATACAAAATGATACTCTTTCGGTTTGCATTTATGTTTTATTTATTTAGAGTTTAATCAGTTAATCAATTTGCTAATTTCCTACTCGAGGAGATCTATTTAGTTCCACTTTCAAATTCCTTTAGTAAGCATCTTTTATGGAATCATCGGCATACCAGATTCTGTAGGACTCGCCCGGCTGGGCAACGTGTTCATGGCCAGAGACAGAGACCTGCTGCGGTTTATAGGACTGTGGGGATGTTTTTGAATGTCCCTTCTGGCATGGTTTCTGGGGCAGCGGCAGAGGTACAGGCCTGTGAGGATGTTCGTGGGGATGATTCGGAGATGGTGCGGATTGGTAGGGAGATGCCTCCTCCCAGGGCAGAGGTTGTTGCCAGGACACCGAGTGGGCAGACACGGGCCCACTGCTCTGGTGCGTCTCCGACCACGATGCGTGCTTTGCCTTGGGTTCCGGTGACTCGGCATAGGCGCTCACACGATGGTTTTCGGGTCGCTCGCCTGGAAATCGACTGATCTTAGAAATGTTGGCAGATTGGGAGCTGTATGCTTGCACTTACCATGCTTCTGTGGCTCCTTAATACTCCAAACTTGAACCACATCCACGGGCTTGGCACTCGCCTGCTGCTGGTAATGTTGTTGCTCGTGATGGTGCGGCTGTGGTGCAATGTTTCCATAACCCTGGTGATGGGACTCCTGCTGTGATCCGTGCTGCTGGTGGGTGTAGCTGCTGTAGTGGGACTCAGGCTGAGGAGCGTGATGTGGATGCTGATGCTCAGTGGGTCCATAGCTCGGGGAGTGCGATTCAGGTCGAGGATTATGCTGGTGGGAGTGCTTGCCGCAATTCTCCACATCCAGTTCGATGCGCTTCTGGGATATGATCAGATCGCGCAGAGCAGCTTCGATGTGCCTCGTGTTCAATGGCCGCAGATGCCTGACTGCGCTGGTGAGTGCTTCAAGACGAGCCTCCTGAGTGCGATTGAAGTGCTTGAGCTGGTGATCGAGGATGCCCAATTTATTGTTGGTGTCTTCGCTCAACTCCTTCACACCGGACAGGCTCTTCAGCTCCACTTCAATGTTGATCTGCGCCGTCTCCAGGCTGTCGAATGAGCACTGCAGTCCATTGAGCTGGGGTAGAACAGAGCGCGTGACCAGCTTGGTGAGGCCGTCGATGCTGCGGTCTATGCCTCGGGCGCTTTGGATTAGGTGCTTTTGGTAGGCGTCTAGCTTGGCCTCCAGGTGGAGGATCAAGTGCTTGGTTCCCTCCTGCAGCCTGGTCAGATCATGCAGTTCCTGTTGCGTTCGCTTTGCATACTCATGGCCTTGCCGCGAGCTATTGGCGAAGGTTTCCAACAACGCCTCGGCTTGGGCTTCCAGGAAATCATTTTGCTTGGCCAGTAGCTGCTCGACCAGACCAATGACCTGCAGAGCCTTTCGCTGCGCTTCCAGATTCGATTCGATTCTTTTACCGACTGTGTCGATGCTGCTCAACAGAGCATTGGCTTCGCTTAGCTCTTCAGTGTTCTTGGTGAGCAGCTCCGTGATCTTTTGCCCATCATCCCCAATGCAGCTGCAGCTGCAGAGGCAGCCGACAAATAAGAGCGACACCAGAATTTTCATTTCTCAAGTAGCTTTCGAACTAGAATCCAAATTGGAAGTGTCTTCAGGGCTTCGCTTTCATGGCTTAAATATGTTTTACCACAGCTGTGCACGCTGATAATACATTTTTTTGTTTTGTTCTTGTTTCCACCTCCACTTTACAAAATAGTTTTTGTTGACGGTTTTATCAGTGTTTACAATTTGGCATTCTGCACGAATTCGAAACCCAACTAACTAGTGTTGGTAAAGATAACGTTTTTTGTTGCTTTTCGGTACAGGATGAGATATCGATATCGATGGGCAAACAGCTGATGGGGAATAAAACAATTTGAAATATTTTATGTTTTGTGATGTCTGCTGCAACTCCTAACAAATGGCGGACCTCGGCCAGTCTTATCATAATCTCCAAAGAAGCCAACAAGCAACAAGATTACAATGTAAGTACAAGTCACTCAATTATGTATGATGATAATGGTTTTAGAACTCCTCTGATCATCCAGCTATTGATGCTCAAGCGCAGCGATCCCACAGCGATCGTTACGAATCAAACTGTCTTTCCCGGTGGCCTGCTGGACAGCGAGGCAGATGAAGATGTTTCCTGGCTGCAGTATTTCGAAGAGTTCGGTGTGCCACAGGAGGCCTTGAGGCGTCTGGTGCTTCTCCATGAAAACAGACCAGCCATACTGGCTCCCCAGGGCACAGGCTGCTACGACCGCTTCTTCAAGCGCTCACACATTTGGTCGCGGTGAGTCCAAAGGTGACACATCTATCACATAGATTATTGTACTGATCTTTGTACTCTTTTGTTGATTCTAGGGAGATAACATTGCGACTAACTGCTTTGCGGGAGTGCTTTGAAGAGGTTGGAGTTCTCCTGTGTCGCAGTAAAAATGAACTGGATTTCGGTAATATTGCCTTGCCGAAGGAGCTGCCCGATCGCGAGGCTTGGCAGCAAAGAGTGCACAACAAGCCCAGCGAATTCCTGAAGCTGTGTCGGGAGCAGAAGGTGGTGCCGGATTTGTGGGCCCTACACGAATGGTCTGCCTGGGCCAGTCCTTCCATCGTACGCAAAGGGTGGGTTGGAGTATGTTTGCGGATTTTATACTAAAGCTAACAAAGACACCTTGCAGCCATGCTACTGTCTTCTTTATGACCTTTGTGGACACACTCCCCAGCCTGCTGAATGAGCCATCTGAGGTCAAGGAGTCTCTGGTGAGTTTTGGTTTTAATACTTATTACAGATTTCATAAATTGTTTTTTTTTTACCTTTAACTTAGTGGTTAACACCGTTGGAGTTTCTGAAACTGAACCAATTGGGGGAAATCTGGTTTCTGCCACCTCAATTCTACGAGTTGTCGCGACTTGCTGGAGTTGGGTCTTACAAATCCCTCCTGGACTTTGCCACAAAACGCAGCAGTCTGGGTACCACCATGTTCATGCCTTTACTCTATGCTTGCGAGGGATCTATGGTGTCTGTGTTGCCAGGCGATGACTACTACTTGCCAGAGCCGCAATATGTGGACGGAATCATCAGCTTTCCAGGCACCGCTGATGAGTTTAGGACACGCTCCAAGCACTTGCATCGGTTCACCTTTGGTGCGAGAGTTGAGAATCTGGAAATGAATATTCCTCCGCCAAATGGACACTTGAGACCGCTGAGTGTCTCGGGCGAGCGTCAAAAGCTTTAATCACATTCCATAGACAGATCCATCGAGGACAGTGACCTCCCACCCCAGTGACCTGACCCCATCTGCTTAGCTCTGATAAGATACTTAATGTGGCCTTTCAAATGGCGTTGGCGTTGGCCTCAAATTGTTATGAAATAATTCTAAGCGGATTTGGCTGGGCATCAAAATATCCAAGTGCCCGCTCTGGACGGCATTAATTATAATTTTATAGGCGACACTTTAATTAAAAAACTCTAGTTTAGGTTCAAGTCTGCCATAAGTTAGCTTAGGATTGAAGCAATGTACATCCAGAGGGGGGGATGCGCACATCAAAAGCGCAACTCTATGCAGATTCGAGTCCTCCCCCAACCCAAGGCAACCTCAAATCGAAACGGGAGTGGAAGGGCGAGTGGTTGGCCAGAGAGAGAGTGAGGCAGCACATGATTTCATACCATTATGAATGCATTTAAATCACTTTGTGCTCTCCTCCTCCCCACCCAATTCGTGGTTGTTTGCGCCACCTGCCGTGTGACTTTGTGCGCTTTACAGCCTTGGCTTGGTCCCGTTACCCCAGGCACAGGGAAGACAAGCCGTTTAAAAATCAAAAACTGAACGAGCTTGCTCCCCACTTCTGTTTGCTTCGTGCCTGCTCGACTGTTTATTATGCATTGTAAAGGACCAACCCTCCACGGGGGGTGTGGGCACTGGCATAGTGGGGGTGTGGGTGTGCAGGGGTAGACTGCCTGCCTCTGTAACAATTACTTCGTTTAATTTAACCTTTTGTGGGTTTCTTCCGGAGTTTATTGTTCTGTTGTTCATTTAATATCGATTAATTATGTTATTAAGTGGGAAACAGACAACTGGAAGGGAGAGTGGGAGTACCTGAGGAGCACTAAAATCATAATTAGTTGGCAGGAGGCAGGCCGAGAGGTCTGCAAAGCTGCTCATAAATTACAAATTAAATTTAAATGCATAATGTGACAAAATGTCTGTGTGAGTTATGAGCGGCGAAAGCGGCTTAGAATCTACTAAGATGTTGCTTGGGCAAATGAGAATCCCAGGCACGACAGGTTGAAAAACTTCTTGATTTATGCGGGAGAGGAGGAGGAGTGCTGGAAGGTGATGCTACTGGGTGGTAGATGGTGTTTGGTAGCTGGTTTATGCTTTATGGCGAGTGAAGACAAGACACCATGTAATTGAATTTTGAGCTCATTTTCATGATATAAAGCTGATTTACGTGGTCGCTGATAAGGTGAATACCGTACATACCGTTGAAATTGGCTTATTAATTGCCTGCAACCGTATAAATGCATATCACGTACTTTTTTTACTCTCAGCTCTGGCTTTGTCAAGCCCAATGCCCAATTATAGTGATTACTCCAGTACACAGACACGAACAGAGTCCAAGATGTCCTGCACCTGCAAGTGACATGAATACCAAATCCCGACCAGATCGATTCACAAGTAATTGACAAGTTCTCGCCGGGACTTCCCACGGGTATAACCAAACACTCCACACACTGCCACAGGAAGAGAGATTTATTTTTATGGCGTGCATTGTTTGCACTCAACTCGACTCGGCTCGGGGGGCGGCCGACCCCGCGGGGCGAGAGCGTTTGGCGGGCAACTAAATGAGTATTACCGCAATAAATCGCCGCAATTCATTTAAGGGTCGGGCACGGGCAACCCTTAAATCAGACAGCACCAGCAGCAGCGGCAGCAGGAGAAGCTGCTAACTGTTGATGAGAGAAAAGCAGCTCTGTCTCCACCACCGAACCCACAGGGAGATGGATGGGGTACCACCCACTATTCGTCAGACCGTGAACCTGTTACGGGATGTCAGATTGTCACTGGGGAAATTGCCGTTGGGCAGGGGGCTGCCTTGCCTTGCCTTGCCTTGCCTTGTACTCCAGCTGGTCGGACAAATTGCATCAATTGACTTGCGTGTTCAACATAATGGCAATTGTGGCTGCCTCTGCCCCCTGTGGGTGTGGCGACGACAGTTGGACTAATGCGTTACATGATTTTCTAATGATGTCTTTATTTCGTAGCTGGCAAACAGGTATGGTATGAATTACCAAAGGATTTTCTATTGCAATTTTGTTTGATTGAAAATAAGTTTCACTTAAAATAAGCGAAAGTAGTATAATAATGTGAAAATTGTTTGAGCGCCTCTGGCATTTAATAGTGGGTCGCGACTCGATTAACCGCAACTTCCTACTTAAGTAAGTAAACGACAGGCAGATACATTTATCAATGATCCATGTCAGTTGTGGATTCATTTGTTTCTTCACAGTTACGTCGAATTGTGTTGATATTTGGCTGGCAGCTATGGAGAGAGAGAGAGATAGAGAGCGAGAGAGTGAGTACCGTTGCAACGGTATCTAGCTCTATTGCCATTCTTCTCTTTGTTCCGATTCCGCCTGCACTCTTTTTGTACGCAATAAAAGACCTAAACAATGTTTACCCTGATTTCAGCTAAAATAAAATCAAATGTTGCTGTTTTACTTGAATTCTCCTTTTAAAATTAAAAGCAAACAGAATACATAAGAACATATGTACATAAGTACTCTCTTCGCATTTGGTTCCCATTTGACGAGATGCAGGTGGAATAGTTCACCTAAGTACATCATCACGTACTTTAGTACATACATACATATGTATGAATGAACATACATATATTTTAGTACCCACAACTAGCATTTAGGTACATAATAATGAGTGTGTATGTGCGTCACATACATTATTTAACGTTCCACAAAACATCATTGAAAGTTACCTGTACACGCACACACACACACACACACACTGGATGAAGCTTTTGACACGCACACAAACACAAAACGCTCGGTGGGCGTTTCGGTTTTTGGCCAAATATGAATTATGCGCTTGCTCCAGCCAAAATGTGTTCCTGTTGTTGCTGTTGGGGCTGCTCCATTCACTCCTCTGCTTAATTTCTATATAATTTCGCTCTCTCTTTCTCTCTGCAGAATTCACACCTAAGTAGAAGCAGCAGCGGCAGCAGCAGCCCCCATTACAGATGCTGAGTGGTGTCGGTGGCCCTCCCTATCCCATCACACCAGGCTAGGGCGCTTCGTAATTCATTTTCCAGTCACGTCACGAGCCTGCGCATAAGCACCGCTGGGGCTACGTTGGGGTAGGTGTCTCTCTGTCTGCTGATGCGGAGGGGCATTATGTTGTCACGGATCTCCATTGCATTCCATTGAAAAGTAGCAGACACACAAGCACCGATGCATGTCTGGGCATGATTGTGTGTGTGTGTGTGTGTGTACATGTGCAGTAAATATGTGTCGGTGCATGTGCATGTGCATGTGTTTTCCATGTGCATCATTTGCAATTTCGTTAGCGGCGCCGCCATCGTCGTCGTCACTTTTGACATTTTTCTGTTATCTTTGCAAAAAGTGTGACCTTGTCACTAGATCTTAATTGCGATTGGGAATATACTTGGATTATCGCGGCTGCATATGATTTGGCGAATCTATTGCACTTTGAGGCTGGAAAAGATTTATTCCAGTTTTGGTCCAACAACTCAATTCAACCCAAAGCCAACTCGTGTCAATTGACTCTCTCAAAGAAAACCAAAGACCCTTATCAAAAGTCTCGCATTTCATATTTCCATTGACTCAGGGAGTTACTCGAATTGTTCGGCATGGAGTTGGGGTGTGTCGTCATTTAAAAAACCATAAATTCAACGGCAATAACGTATAAAGTATGTTTATTTGGATATTAGGCTAAGCAGCGGCGGAACGGCAAAGGCCCATAAAAGGGGTAGAAATTCGAATAAGAACTTGCGACACAAGACGGTCCATAAGAAGACGTTTCTCAAAAAACTCTTTAACACTTGATTTAACTTCAGCGAGTACAGTGCGTGCTATATGAAAATTCCCATTTCCCATTTCTACTCTGTAACTAATATCTAAATTATCGTAGGTAATGCCACATAATTTCTTAGTTGGAATTATTTCGAATTGATTTAAATATCCAATTTAATTTTTATCATTGATTTGAATTTTCTTAAAGATTCAAATAAACGCTAAATTACATATCATTTTTAATCAACTATTCATTAGTAAGTGAGTTATTCTACGTCATTTTGTAATAAATTGCAATGATTGATGTTCATAATTCTCGAATTCCCTCGATGATCGCATTTCGTGTCAAACATTTTAAGTCATCGAAAAGAAAATAAATAGAAGTAATCATGTAAAATCCGTCATGCCGTGACATATCGTAGCGAAACGCACTGTATCTGATGCCCTCATGCGTCAGGAGAGGCCAGTCGCCGGAGGGTGGATGGTTACAATGTGCTCGGCATATGAATATGAATTGTAATAGATTTAGATATGAATCGAAAATCCATACATATGTCTGTCGTTCCGTTCCGTGGCCAACAAAGGTCTGGCACACTGAAAGGAGCAGCTATAGCGTATAATCCAAGCAAATTGATTGAAGATAACATTTTCTTGAGTCATTTGTACATGAAAGAAAAACTCTCAAAAATATATTGTAAAATGCCACAAAAGAGAAAAATTAATTTTCTGCCTTTGAGCGTGGGGATGTGGCAAAAGAAAATGTAATTTTTAAGCTAAATGAGTTGGGTCCGGTCCATCAATGGCAAAGTAAAGCAAAATTCACTGCAAAAGTAAGAGCCGCAAAAGTTTAAGATTTCCGGCGACGGAAAAATGTTGAAAAATTCTTGGGGCAGATTGAGCGTATCAAATTCGACACTCGGCAAAAGTCTCGTCCGTGCTTTATTTTTGTGCTGGTATAAATTATATGGCACTTGCCACGTGTCACCGATTTGTACGGGTGCAAAGTGTGAAATATTCCGGAAAGGACTCTACAAAAAGGACTTCGTTCACCCCCCATGCCATGCCATGCCCCTCAATGAAGCGTAAAATATTTTTACTTCTTACAGTTTGCGAAGAAGAATTTAATCCGTGCGGAAATTTAACCAATTTAAAAAGGAGAGAGTCACACACGACTAGAGTCGGCCACGCCCCCTTTTCTCGGGTCTGCCCTCATTGTATCCCTTTTTGTTGGGGAAGAGCGCTGCTTTATCCGTTTTATTGTGGTAATAAAACTACAATACAATATTGTTTGAATGAGATTGAACGACATTTGAATGGAGCATGGAATGATGCCGGTTCTCCCTGCCCTGAACCTAACGAGTCGATATTTATGGACCATTTTTGGTTAATTTAAGGGCGAAATTTCCACAAGAATGTTAAAGCTTTGGTCTTGGGGAATATCAAGAGGAGATGGACGCACCAGTTGGTTATTTTAGTCACATTAGTTACGAGCATCCTTGTGCTGTGCACACACAATCTATGGCACTCGAATTTTAATTACCAAACTCAGTGTTAAAATGTATGCGCTGCACTGGGTGGACCATTAAAGGGTTTATTCTCTCAGCCAATAAAATATCCCTAGGAAACAAGGTCACACATGGCACCCTTGGGCAATTTGGGTGACCGAACGCTTGACTTCTGGACCTGGTCAATGGGGGATACATATAATCTACATGTTTATGGCTATTTGCGTTTCGACCTCCGCCGAGATAAGCCATAATTTGATTAAGCCAACCCCTTCGTCCTCGTGGGGAGGAAGTTGGTAAGTGAATAAAAATATGTAAAAAGCATAACTCAAGGATGGTTGCGATCCGTGGACTTAGAGCATAAGCA